TAATCACAAAGATCAAAATATGTACTTTTAACTGATGCGGAATTTTATTATTTATCAATTGCAAGAGTGTTGGAACTATTCCGGCTGATATTACCATAGTTCCACCAGTTTGTGTAGTGATTATATAAGATATTAAAGCAAATAGGGAATCGTAATATTCCTGAGGATATATTTCTGAATAAACAAAAAATTTATCAAGAAACAATCGAGACAATAATGAGTCAAAAATTTTCTAAAATAATAAAAATACTAACGACGATCACGATCTAAATCCGCAATCACTCTCCGTAAAACGTAAAGAAGAATGCCATGATTGGCCGATGCATTAATTGCTGTTAGTACCTCACCAAGTTTAGATCGGTACCGACTGATCCCATCCAAAGCAAAGAATGAAACCGTTTGGATGTCCTAATAAAGAAATTTTTTGTTAATATCAAAATACAGGACGAATGATAGTTATAAATAACCAAATAACTTACAAATGGTACATTTCGATCTGGATGAACTAATTCAGCAAGGTTAGAAACAATGTCTGGCTCATATAAAAACAACTTTGGTTGTGCGACTTGTTCTGGAATCACGTGTGCTAAAAATAAACAGCAAATCAGTTATATTTCTTATATCTAAAATAAACATTTACAATATATTTTAGCATACCCATTATAGCAATTGCGAGAATCCTTATTATTAACAATCTTCGTCTAGATTCTGTCGAAGTGATGCTAGTTGCGATTCGAATTCGGTTTAAAAGAGCAAAATGAAATTCTTCGGGAATTTCGTACTCTTGAACAACATTATTCAAAATGTCCATATCTGTATTTCCTAATTGACGAATGTTGTTCACAGAAATCACTGTAACACCCTCCCCAGCTTTGGTTCCACTAGTACTTGATAAACTATCTTTCCGTTGACTCTTTTGCAATTGTGCAGGCGAAACATTCGTGACATCATTCTTCTTTTCAACAGTTGTCTCAGCAGCTTCTGATGGAGTTAAATGACGATAAAATTGATAATTCAAAGCAGTCAATTCTTCGGGAATTGTTACATCATCAGACGCAAGGTGCACCATTTCAAGATTATGCTCTTTCGTCCTTAATAAACACGCGTATCAATAGCCTTTGACGATATCTTAAAGCTTTTGACAGCTTGATTC